GGTGATGAGAATTCTGGTCCGTTTTTCCTTGGGCTTGTTGTCGGCATGTGTACACTCGATCTTGGCGTGCGTGCAATATGAACAAGGCGATTCTCTATTGCAGCGGATCTATATCTAGGTCAGTGTCTGCTTCGTTTAAACCCCCATTGCGCCAAGATTAGATAGTTGCGAAGCTTCGCCGTCGCTAACTCCGGGCGGCAGGGACAAGTAAATGGTGTAAATGGCTCTCAACAAGCAAACCAACTCACCTTACGAGCACGGCAAGCGTCACACTAATTATTCCAGTCAGTTCAATATAAATCTTCAAAGGCCATCTGCGTCACTTACAGCCCTGCGAATAGCAATCTGAGGATTCGCTGAAGACGGCTCAGGCGCTTCTTCTGGCGCATCGTCAGGCCCATCCTCATGGCCGCTGGCGTCCAGCTGGCTGTCGTCCATATCTCTCCCTCCGCTAAGCGATAGGCCTGTGGCAAGGGTCCTTTGGGGGCTACTACTCGTCGATCTCGTAGGCGAGTCCTCGGTGTGCAAGCGGACGACGCGGGAGCCGATGAGTGTACAACAAAGATTGTGAGAACTTGAATTTGTTGTCGGCAGAGGCGAGGTCGGGTCCCGAAATATGAGAAAGCTGCTGACAATGCGCCTTCACCCAACTAGGAAGCATTTGCACATGTTTCGTTTTTTATCGTTATTTCTTTTCTCGCGCGCCGTTTCGGGGGCCGCGCGACCCGTCCAAGTCCGCGGGCTGTCGGCTGGATACAATACCCCAATGTGGTAAGTAATGGGTCCAAAGTCTATTTATACGCTGTCAATAGCCACTCTGAAGCTTTCGTCCGAGCAAACTAGTTCAGAATCTTCAGTTCTTTAGTCAGAGCTCCGCTACATAGGCTTTCGCTGCCTGGCGCGCTGTATTTCGCGGTCGATCGGGAGTAGGCGGCCATACCCTTACTGAGAAAATCCAGAATTGGACCTCGTGAGAAGGCATCACGGTCAACGGTTGAAGCATGATACTCAGCGCATGTTAATCCATTCGTGGGGCAGTTGACTCGTTGAATCGTTGAGTAGACGAGCATAGAAAAATTGCCATGGTACCGTAAAAAGGTTTCTTGCCTCGGGGGAAACGCATTGATTGATCGTCGACCGATTGATGTTGAGCCTGCATTCGATGATTTTTTTTGAAGCATTTAATCTTTTGAAGTAGTGGGGTTTTTCTAAAGAAATGAGCGGTGGATCTATCGTACACTTATGTCGATCTCCCGACGACTCTAGTAGTCTTTATAAGTCGGCAGCGACTTGAACCCGTATTCTTCGACCGGGACATTGTTCGCCGGTGGTCCAGCGAATCTCGCGACGAAGGAAAACAGCCCTGACCAGTAGAGAACAAACATGATCGTGTTCAACAGCCAAACTCCCCAGACCGTCTCGGGATGGAGCGAGTGAGGCATGCCGGGTGCCAGCTTTTGCGCGCGAGCAACAGTAGGACGCATTTTCTCTTCATAGTCGCCAAAGGCAGTCTCGAAATTATTCGGATGTTGTAGAATCGCGCCTGCCAGATTGTACGCGCCGCTCATTGCCAAAGTTGTTCCCATCCCAGATAGAGGAGAAGCGCAATACCCAGCATCACCCAGGAGAACAACCCTTCCTTTGCTCCATTTGTCCATCTTGATCTGACAGACAGTATCGTAATAGAAGTCGTCCGTGGCGATCATCTCCTTGATGACGCGATCAGTTTCCCAGCCAAGTCCCTCAAAGTACTCTCGAAGGATGGCTTTTTGAGCATCCGTACTTCCGCCTTTTCGCTCAGCAACAGCCCGTAGCCGTTCATCTTTCTCATTTACAATGGCCATGAAGACCGTTGTTCTATCTTCCACACCAGATGGGCGGATCATGATGCCACGTCGACCGGGTGCATGAAACCAGCGACGCCATGCCGAGTCAGTCGGACCACGAGGCATACTGAAGAAGCCCCCATACATCCCGAGCCTCCTTCTCCTGTCTTCCTCGCCAGCCTCACCCCAAGTCAGAATACGTACTCGACTTTGCACACCATCTGCTCCAACTACCAGGTCAAAGGTTCGTCTTTCGCCGCTCTTGGTGAAGTGGACGTGTACCTTGTCTCCGTCCTGCTCTAGGTCATCAAGAGAATCGCCAAAGATGTACTCGATTCCGGCGCCGCCATCAGCCTGAATTTCGTCATTGACTTTCTGGCTCTGTTCGAGTAGCAACTGTGCCAACCGTCCTCTCAAGATCTCGATATCACTTGTCGGTGTTTGCGTTTTTCCGCTCTTATCCGCTCCAAAAGCTGCCCATACTCGATTCTCCTTGTCGACCAACTGCACTCCTTCTTCGCCAGTGGTAGCTGCCCGGATAGCTGCTTCGAGTCCAAGCTTGCGGATGATGGTCACTCCAGCGCCTCGAACGTCGATGTTCTGGCCTTGAGGGCGAAAGACAGGCGCTCTCTCCAAGATGGTGATGCGCGGCTTCTCAGACGCAGGCGCCGGCGACATCAGCAAGAATGTAGCTAGTGTTGGCCCAGCAATACTGCAGCCTACGATCAAGATGTTTATAGGTGCCATCATAAGACGATTGCTGAGAAACCGACTACGACTCCTATAATAACCGATGCCAAGACTGGGGTTGCCAAGGCCTTTAAAAAGATAATGGGTGATGGTGTTCAAGATCTGTGCAAGGAACAGATGCAAAGACGTTGTGAATCTACGACGTCATTTGGCCGCTATCGAGATCCTGCCGGCATTCTTGTTCCGTGGGCTGACACTGAGCTCATTCCAGGCATTGCCTTTGTGCGGTGGCTGGCCTAAGCACTAGCTGAATGTGGAAGGGCTCGTGGGAGGTTAATAACTCCGGACACCTCGATATTCATTGACACTCTTGAATTCGGTCAATTTGCCTTCGGCATCAACTTCCTTGATGTGCTCTCGGCTTGACATCTCCTGGTGTCTTCTGTCGGCCTTGTAAGAGAATACGAAATAGAGACCCAAGCAACTAAATGTGGGCTATCGTATATTAATGCATATGAATGCTATCACTCGACCTTGACCACAATCTTCCCAACGAATTCTTGAGCAAGCATGGCTTTATAAGCCAGCTTAGCATCATTCCACTCAAAAACTTCCGCAATGATTGGTTTGATCTTGTGTGTCTCAACAAAGGCACTGAGATCCTGTAGCATGCCCAGGCTGCCGTACACCAAGCCTCGGACTAAGATAGAATGTTAGATACAGAAGCTGGATGTTGGAGATTTTCTTACTCGTCTTGGCACCAAAAATAAGTTCCGGAATTAGATCGTGTTTCTCAGAGGCAGACATGAAGCCAATAGCTGATACCAGGCCATCCTGTCGCAGTGCACGTAACAACTCAGCAATGGTCGAAGCACCGACAAAGTCAAGGACTTGGTCAGCACCACGACCACCGGTCAAGTCGAGAACCTCTCGACTTGAGTTGGGATTGTTCTTGTAGTTGATGACATGCTTAGCACCAAGTTTCCGAAGAAGTTCGAGTTTCTCCTCTGAGGTTGAGAAGGCGATGACATCAGCCCCGGCAGCGACGGCGATCTAATGATCGTAAGACCAAGTCAAAAGTATGTTACTATGTTGTATAGCACAACTTACCTGTATCCCAGCAACACTCACACCACCAGTACCCTGAATCACCACAGTGTCTCTCATTTTCAGTTGTTGAGGGCCTCCGAAAAGCGCCTTTCAAGCGCATACATATGGACCGCTGAGAGCTGCAGCTTCCTCAAAGGACAGGTGAGAGGGCAGAGGAGCCAGTGCATCATCAGCAAAGACAGCATATTACTGCAAAACTCCATCAATGTTCTTTCCACCCAGACCAACTTTGATATCAAAGGCAGCTTGAGTTTGGTCAGGTTTCCAAGACGAGTTGGTAGCGTTGATGACCTTGTCGCCCACTTTCCATCTCGATGTTGGCAAATTGACTTCAACGACAGATTGTTTAAAGGTTGCTTTGTAGGTTTGACACACCTAGCACGACCAGGTGTCAAATTAGGATACCGCGACTTTGAGTCAATGTTACTTCGAACCTGTTTCATTCGATGATCTGGAGAGACTCAGAGGAAGTTTCACTGATTCGCATGTTGTTGCGGAATTTCAAGCTGCTTCGACAGACGAACGTGAAGCCGCAGGTAACACAGATCAGATGCGCATGAACTTTGTTATGGCTAGCTCTATTTAAGTGCCGGGATGTTGCTTCTTTCTCTTTCAAATCTTGGGGAGATGTCCGATGATGATGTGGTCTTCGCCTCAACGAACATTCAGATACGGTAACAATAGCTAGATAGTAGGCTACGACTTTCAATACAAGCAAAAGACTTAGGTCAGTCCTCTGATGTTCTTCTAGTACTATTTCTTCCGATCCAGCAACATGCAACCTTGGGAAATGATAGTCTCGTAGCTAAGGACAGCAATGCGCTTACTATGATAAACATATCTCGATTCCTGTGGAACCGGTGACGTCTGCGCCTCCGCCCCTTTAACTTAATGGGCACGGATAAAATTCATACAACTACATATCGAATACGCACACTATTTAAGCATCTACTTAATGCTGTTAAAAACTGTTAATCAGTGTATTCTGTGACCTCGAGATGATCCTGTGCGATCAGGCTGCAGCTGAACGAAACAAACGTAATTCGTTGGGATCTGTAGGTTCTTGATCTATGACCTGCATTTCGCCTACGGACATAAGTCCATCTTGGGCCATTGCCGCTGCGGCTGACCTCGTGTCGCAGCGCCTTGACCGGGAATATTGCTTCTCAACTACAATCCCCTGCGCGCCTGCACCACATATGCAGACAGATAAGTCGCTCAGAGGAATTTTCTGAGTGCATGCAAGGCAGAGTCCCATTTTGTTCTTTCCCTCTTGTTAAGTCTACTTGGACAAACCTGGGTCCGTTGTAGTCGACACTTGCATCGTCAAGGACTAATGTACTTATTGATGAATTCTGGCAACGATTCATCGGGATGCTTTTACTCGATCGCTTACCTTTTACGTGTCGTGCCATTACTTTTGTTACTTACGTTCTACTGGGCTCAAAAGTGACCCCCTTGCCTTGTTCCAACGCCGGTCATCATCAATATGCAGCCACCGATACGCTCCCTCGACTGATTCGGTTGAAAGCTGAGTAGGTGAACAGCTCCTTGATTGGTCCATGCTGCAGGCGACCGACCTCCATGTGCTCGATCTGACCACCCCATTGACCAATGTAGATAAGTAATTGAAATGGCTGCGACGTAGGCGCGAGCCTCGTTTTGGCCCCCATCTTCGTTGAGCCCTTTAAGTCAACATACCCACTTCCTGGCACCCCCCTGTTTCTGGCACCACAAAAACGATGGGATCACAACCCAACCTCCTCATTACTATTAACTATTGATCCTCAACCACACCCACTACAATACAGCTGCCAGCCTCACTAGGGCATTCAGAGTCGCTGGATTCAGCCGTGATAACCTCCTTTTCACCCGCTTCGATTTGAGCCCGATGGATATCCCTGATGTTCGCGAACTTCGTATTGGGATCG